CAGGGGATATGCAGTAAAGATCTACAACACATCGTACAAAATCTAATTTAAATGGTTCAAGATTTGGTAAAAATAGACGTTTTATCCTTGCAAGGAATAGAAACATATGGGCGAAACAGAAGAGAAAAATACAACTTTCGAACGGTAAGAGACAGTCTTCAATTTGTAATCAATGAAACTAACGGAAACTGATTATTTAGTGTCGAGTTAAGTTTTATCATATCCTAAATCGCGAAGTCATGACAAAAAAAAGTAAGCTTAAATATATGAAATTTTCTAGACGACTTAAGACTTAAAGAATTTTTCGAAAGTGAAAGTATTGATTCAAAAGAAAATGAAAATAAACAAGAACCTAAATTCAATAAGAAACATTCTACTTTCATACCACCTGCCGGTAGAGATATACTAAATATGCTTTAATTTTTTTTATATTGAATATGTGAATTAAGATATTTAAAGGCTTAACCAAAACGGAGAATACGAATGTTTTGATTCCTGAACTCGAATCATGTACTTTAGTGATAATCAACAAGGAAGATTACATTGCTGAGGTCAACAGACAATTAAGTAACAATTATGAAGATAATTTGACAATTTGACATGCACGTACTCATGGCTTTTATATTATTCCTAAAATTCATTAACAGTAAAGTAAACTTTAATACGCACATTATCCTGGTCGTTCAATCGTTTCCAGTTGTAATTCAAGAACAATAAAACATATTTATTAGTACATGTACTGTACTAATATAACATCTTAAAGCTATTATCACGTAATCTGTCTTTATATATCATGAAGACTTCGGAGTTGATTGCCAAACTAAAAAAAAGCTTGTGTCGGGAGAACAGTTCTTTGTTACTTTAGATGTTATAGCTTTATATACAAACAATTCACATACAGACACAAACAGCGTAGAACCTTTTAGACATTTTCTACAGTGAAATTACTCCAAAAAGCGTTCATATAATGCAATATGTGAACTTCTTTCCTAAGTCCTAGAATAATTTTCATTTTAACCGTGTTCGTAATCTACAAGAAAGGGAACAGCAATGGGAAGTTCTATGGCATCATCACATGCTTCGCTGTTTATGTGTAAATTTGAAAATGAGCGGCGTACATGGTTCAAAATTACGTATCCATATATATCAAACACTTAAATTCTAAAATGCCATAATGCTCATTTTGCAAATAACAATTTTTTAGAAACATAATACATGGAAATAAGAAAACAATAACAAAGTAATGCAGATGCAATATAATACCTTTGAAAATAGTCGATTAATAGCTTAAACTCGTTGGATGGAACGATACTGGCAGTGTTTTCTAAAAATATACATTTGCACGTTCTTTTAGTATTGCTGTCAACATAAAACACATCTAACGACAAACTATGTTTACGTAGTGTATTCTCTTAACATGAATAACTTAAAAACAATGTTGTCAAATTAAAAAAATTAATGAATTTATCGCCATTTCCTTCGAATCCGAAATTTCATTAATAAGTACCCGAGAGATAGATAGAATCTATGGGTATGACAGAGGATCGGCATCCATACCCAGGGGATGATTCGTTCCGTCGATCGTGAGATTTGGCGAGCAATTCAGTCCATAGTTCCATAGTTGATAAGAAACCATTCGTTTTTCATGATCAAGTACTAGTTCATTTATTTGACCAAATATTCCATCAAAATAAAAGCAAAGGATTTTCTTTCACCAGGAAGCAACGTTTTCATTATAATACTTGAATGGTTACCATGCATACTGCAACAACATAAATGTGTACGAAGAATTCAATAGAAACTCAAATTGTAATCTTAACAACCGGTAATAATAATAATATATTTAAGCCCCTAGCTGTCACTATAGTATTTCGATAAAACTGTATTGTTGTTTACTGGGTTAACGTCTATAGATGTTTCAAAATTTCAAATTCAACCATTTCATATTAAATGTTCAATACTGCTTAAACCGGTGCTTAGGGGCTGGGGTAGACGGTAACTAGCACTTTCTATTACCGTTCATTAACAGGCTCAATCAAACAGAGCCTGCAACATTTTCATTTTTAACGTTTTGTGCGTTCTTAAAATGATTATTTATTAATCCTATTTTCAATATCGGACAGGTATGGATAAAAGGTGTAACAAAAAAGTGAAAGATAAGCCCATGTCAGGTCAGATTTTTCGGTGAGTAATTGAAAAATGTAACATATGTTTAAGTCCGACCAATCCCAGCAACGGCTTAAACAAGAAGTATAAAATCTCCAACACCAATATATTACGTAAGGTATAGAAATGTCATTTCTCAATATATTGTTATATATTGTTTAGTATTTATCTTGTTCACGTTCTTTATCATCAATGTGTGTTAAATCAAACTTTGGTTCTAAGCCAATTTTTATTTCGTCGAAACTAAAGGAGAATTAACTTCCTTTCCGAGTATTGCCTGAGAAAAAAAGGGATTTATATAGATCGGATGATTGTAGACACTCAACAATCATGAAGTGGTCTACGTTAAAGCTAAGCAAATAAGATAACGAAATAATTAATGATCGAGGTTTCGTTTTACTGGTTGGAAATATAATCTAAAAATCAAAGGTTCGTTAAGTAGGTTCTATAAATACTCGTTTATCCATCGGAAAATCCGTGTTCTTAACCGACCTTTGTTCTTACTTTATAAAAAATTGTTTAGTTTAATTGTGCGGGAAGCTATAAGCATATTGAAAGACTCTCGAATCCGTTCCTGGAACCAACCTGTACTCTGCAATGAATGTAAAGTTTCTTGCTGAAGGAAACAAGGGCTTGCCCTAACAGGGTTTGAACCCACGCGGTCAGCAATCCTTAAATTACTAGTCTGGACTGTTAACCACTCTGCCACGCCCCCACTTTGCTCTGACCTTGGTTTTTAAAAAACATTGCACAAACAATCTTATTATGTCGGAACGTAGGGTTTTTTAAATAAACAAATCGTAATGTTAACTTATGCAAATGCCCAAATGTTACGCTAAAAACGTTTTGAGAATTATATATTACATTTACACAAATGAGTTGTAGAGAATGAAGTAATGTAATGAAAACAAAACTCTAGAAATGAGAAATCAATCATTTTGATTGGTTTGAAAATATGCTCAGTTTATTATTTTACGGGACGTCATTGTAATAAAAGATTCAAAATGCTTTAGATGTTGATTGTGACATTTTGATTATTTTTCTTTCACTTTTCTATTAAATCTTCGTTCGTAAATGTGGTTGTATGTACACTCAGAGCCACTGATAACCGACATTTACATGTTTTGGTATAAATTAGTTATTTGTGGACGGATTTTGTTCAAATTTGGACAATACAAAAAATCATTGTATCATACAATTTACATAGAATTTTATTTACAATTCATTGACAAGAAAATAGAAAAAAAACAAATAGGATACTGTAAAATGAAAAATCACAGAATGGTTGTAAAATCACAGATCTTTATCTTACCACAAGAAACCCACAAATCAATTCAACACCCGATGAAAAAATATTATAGGTACATAATTATAAATTTTAAGTAGGTCGTGGCAAAATTAAATAAGATAACACGTTAATGTTGCCTATAATCAATACAAAGCGAGTCCTATTCAGGGATCTACACTTGTTCAGACGACACTAATTATCCTTGAAACTGCTTTCTCTCAAGTTTTGAAAAATCTTTAAGAATTCTATTTAAGGGGATCTGAATTGCAATAAAAAAAGTATCGGTGGTCCAAATGTAGATCTCCAAGAGTTTACACAGTCTTGCAGCAATAGATGGGTTGCAACCAAATTTTCATTCCGAAACTTGATTTATTTTGAATATATTTTAGCTCTGTCCACTGTTACCAGCAAAACTGTTAAGGTTACATTGTGTCTGAAGATGTAAATGACGATCGGGTTGCATAAATGCCAATCTCTACATATTTTTATAAGTTTGTGTCCGCAATATTATTTATTTGCACACGGCGTGCCGTTAAAAGTTAACTTATCGTACAATTTATGAGGGACGTATCTTATAGTAACAAGCATAAACATTTAGTTGATCGTGTCTGACTGAACTCGATAAGAACAGTAATATTATAATCTGCTATACTATAGCCTTCTTTAGATCGCAAGAGGTCGACTCGTTTGAAATATCGCGTCCAAACGCTATATACCGTTTTATAAGGATCGCTTAACTTTAAAACAAAGTCAAATTTGAAAGATGATCAAATAGGTTAATCTTGTCCTCAAAATATTAAATAAAAGTGTTTTTAGTTGTATTGAGGTGCATCTAAATTGTATGTTACAGAATGTTCAATTTAATAATGAATTGACATCCAAAATTCCTTCCTGAAAAAGTGTGCTATAAAACTCTATGATTTAATTTCGCTTTTCTTTCATTTTCAAGTTCAATTAACCTTCTCTATACATGTTGATATTGTTGCTGGTGATTTTATTATCTCTCAAAATATATGTAATTCTACTACATTTGTCGATTATTTTGTTCGGATAAATTTTATTTACTTCGTGTCAGAAAACTAAACGTTGTATATATTTTATCAATCTTAGATATTACCCTTTAGCCAACTATATATTTTCTGATGGGTAAATATCTCTATTTCCGCCGAAAGTTACAAAAACAATGATTTTTGTGGTAAAAATACAGTTGTTGTTTTTAAATAATATGCATGTAGAGTGAAAACTGAAAAATAGTCAAGAAATTATGCATACGTATTTTAGTTTACCGTGCTGGTGCAAAATTCACTAAAAACATGCACATTCTGTGCAGTCGGTTTTATATTCTATAACAATAAGACTGCATTGTTTTACAAAAACATTCTGACATTTCTCCTGTAGATACTGACATTTAGTGACAAATAGCCAGCCTATCTGCACTTATATTCTTTGATTGCGTCAAGTTGTTCGACCTTTGAATTATCGACAGCCCAATATAAAATACCAAGAAAGGAAGTTAAATCTACTTTTGACATTCTTTAAGGTTATATACTCGTACAAGTACTGACAAAAGTTTTTAAACTGCGCCACTTGATATTTTTGGCATAAGCAGTGCGGATCGTTCGGTAAGTAAAATTTAATGACTTTAAAACTTTTTATTATTTTAAAACAATATTATTAATTGAACAACGTTATCCTTAAAACTGTTTATACAAAATGATAAATATTCCTACTACATTGAATGATACATGTACAAAGGATCAGAATGAAAGACAAAACGGCTTAAGTAAAAGGCTCATTAAAAAGCTTATTAAAAATCGTTCTGGATCTATAAGCTTTTTACCTTTATCTCCTTATGGTATGATGAAAAACATTTTGTACAATGTATAACTTTTTCATCTTTCAAACATATCATTTGGCCGGTATACATATATTTTCTTGTTGTTGTTTTGTCATATCAATTTTTTTATAGTTAATTATAAGAATTTTTGTATCACATAACTTGTGTTGATCTATATTCATGTAGCAATATTTAAATTGAAACATTCTGTTTTTATTTGACAAAGCTTTTGTTTCGGCTTTAATACCACGTTCCGTTAAATGTATTAATAACAGATGTTTCGTTATTTGTTTATCATAAACGTCAATCTTTTGCCTGGGGCAGATAAATCTCGAAAGCTAAGAAAAGCGCTTGTATTAGCATGATAGTAAAGTATTATGTTTTATAATTCATATTTATATCTATGTCATAATTTTCTAACTGTCAATAAATAATTATTTAAAGAATAATCACAATCACAATTCACAATCGAACATGCAAGTAATTATGGAATCGCTGTTACAGTATTAAATTTATATATGTGTGTGTGTGTGCGTGCGTGTGTGCGTGCGTACGTGCGTACTTGCGTGCGTGGCTAAAAACGTTTAAATTTTGTACTTACGATAATTATATTGTTAACTTTCTTAACGTATAATGATTAACCGCCCGGTGTAAAAATAGTTTCATGATCATTTATAAGAAAGCAATGATATCTAGTTTCGATTCGGTTTCAAAAAACATTTAACTTGTACAAGCCACATTTTCAAAATGTGGCCATAAAATAATGTTGATGTTATTTATATTGCTAACATTACAAAATAAACAAGAGCGGGTTGAACCGGGTGATGCTCCCCGAATAGGTTTTGGACACAGGAAGGTTTACCTTCTGTAGTGTCAGATTTTTGTCACAGACAAAGTTCAAAGTCTTAAAACAACCCAAATATTGTGCACGACACATTGTCTCAATATGGTGATCATTTGTGTGAAATAGTTTAAAATCTGACTTCAAATAACGAAGTTATGGACCGGACACGATTTTGCTGCAGGGTTATGCTGTGACCTTGACATTTAAGGTAGCGGTCTAAATGTTGCATGTGACACGACGATTTAATATGGTGATCATCTCTGTGAAATAGTTGTTAAAAGCGACTGCAAGTAACGAAGTTATCGGCCGGACACGATTTTGCTGTAAGGTCACGTTTTGACCTTGACCTTCAAGGTAACGACCCAAATGTTGCGCGCGACACATTGTCTCATTATGGTGATCATTTCTGTGAAATAGTATTAAAATCCGACTTCAAATAACGAAGTTATGGACCGTACACGATTTTTCTGCAAGGTCATGCTGTGACCCTGACCTTCAAGGTAGCAACCCAAATTTTGTGCACGACACGTCATCTCAAAATGGTGATCATTTCTGTGGTATAGTTTTAAAATCTGACTTCAAATAACGAAGTTTTGGGCCGGACACGAGTTTGCTGCAAGGTCATGCTGTGACCTTGACCTTCAAGGTAGCGACCCAAATGTTACGCGCGACACGTCGTCCCAATAAGGTGATCATTTCTGTGAAACAGTTTTAAAATCTGACTTCAAATAACAAAGTTATGGGCCGTACACGATTTAGCTGCAAGGCCATGCTGTGACCTTGACCTTCAAGGTAGCGATCCAAATGTTGCTTGCGACACGTCGTCTTGTTATGGTGATCATTTCCGTGAAATAGTTTTAAAATCCGACTTCAAGAAACGAAGTTATGGACCGGAAACATACAGCTTGTTTCAATTTGGCAAATGAAGCAATTATAACTAGTAGTAGTAGAAGCAGTAGCAGCAGCTGCAGCTGCAGCAGCAGTTGCAAGTAGAAGTAGTAGTAAATTTTTAGTAAGTTTTGACGTCACCTCCTATGACGTTATAACAACACCCAGACTGCGATTACGTTTGTGTTTGCTTACATATGCATGTGATGGCCATAATGTTTAAATTATTTCAAAACTTGTCAGTCGTCCAACAGTCAAAAAGATAAGGGAAAGATAATTGAACTTCCTGGTGAGGTTGTAGCGGCACATTACATAATTTGAAATTACATTTCTTAATAAAACAAACACTTAAATTCCAAAACTGCAACAAATATTTTTAGAATAGTACTACTTGGAAATGGAGTTGTTTTCAAAAAAAACAATTTGCATGTCAATGCAGCTGCAATTTAACACCTACGATAAATATTCAGTTGATAGGTAAAGCTCGTTTGATGGGACGATACTGACAGAGTTGTTTACAAATATATTTGTGCACGTCCTTACAATATTGCTGTAAACTCAAACACAAATAACAACAAACTGTGTTAACGGAGAGTTTTCACTTAACATGGGTAATTAAATAAATCAAATACAATGTTGTCAAACTAAAGAACTTAATAATATTTTGAAATGAATTTATCCCCATTTGCTACATATCCGAAATTTTAGTTAGCTGTTCCTGAGAGATAAATTAAATATAAAACTGGGTAAGAAAGGGGATGGGATTGGAAGTGATAGATTCCGTCGATCACGTTTCTTGGCAAGCAAGTATATGACCTGATAAAAAATTATGTAGGGCGAATGATTGTAGGCACCCAACAATCATAAAGTGATCCGAGTTATAAAAAGCAAATAAGTTAAACAAATAATAAATGCTCGAGATTGCAATTTACCGATAAGAAATATAATCTAAAAATCAATGTTTTTTCAAGTAGTTTCTATATATGCTCGTATATCTGTCGATAAAACCATGTACATCATCTACTTGAAAACATTGCGCAAACAATCTAATCCTGTCGTAATGTAGGGTTGTTTTTTCATATGCATATCGTAAAAGCGCATGTATGCCCGAATTTTACACTCGAAACACTTTTTGAATGAGTTGCAGAGAACATAGTCATGTTAGGACAACACAACTATAGACTTTAATAAAAAATCAACAAAAAAGTGCTCGATAAGTTATTTCAAAATTAATGAATTAAATGTTCACGAATTTGAATTTTGTTAGGTGTTTCCTAGGCAATCTCTTCACGTAAGTTCTAAAATGTGAGTGATGATTTAAATTTCGTGAAGCATTTATGTTTTCCTACTTAAATCTGTTAAATAAAAAATACATGAAAAGGAATACTAAGGTTTTTTTTTCAAGATTGGTAGTTGTAAGTGTAAACAACTGTGAAAATGTTTTATCTGTATATTTAGACTAAAGTGGAATCTGCTCGTGTAGTTAGTAATGCTTTTGTCCTTTTATCGATGTTTATTTTATTGGTTTGTTTCATGCGGGAGGTCACTGAAGTGATATAATCAAACTGCTTTAGCTGTTTACAGTAGAATTCGGGTGGGTTTTTTTTCCAAAACTCCATTGCGGTGTAACATATCATTTTCTTAAACAAGAACAATTAATAACGACAAGCTCATGCTGAAAGGAAAATAGAAAAAAACAAGATTTATGAGGTAATGCAGTGTTCACGTATCCAGCACACGACCAAGCAAAGAGGTCTGGCGTCCGTCGCCGTCCATGTCCGATCGTCCGTCGCAAACATTTTATAAACCACAACTCCTCTTGAACCAAACTTCACTGAAATGAGTCTTGCGTGGTCACGTATAAAGTTATTCAAATTGTTCTGCACAGTTGCATAAGTAGGCCTGCACAGTTGCATAAGTAGGTAAAATGGATAAAAATTTGTTTTAGGAAAATGTTAATTTCAAAATGCTTCTTTTTTTTAAATTACAATGCACAGTTTTTAACATCATCTAGAAATCCTAAAGCAAAGTTGATTAAATGGTATCTCTAGGATCAAACGTTGTCCCGTCCTTGAGCCATTGGATTTCCTGTTACGTTCTTATCCTATTCTCTCAACGCTCAAAAGCTAAAACTTAAATGTTTGGCATGAACCATTATCTAGTGAACCTTCTACACAATTTTTGAAATAATAGCCCTGCACTTAACATTGGCTGTGCCGCGAGGGTCATGTGTTTTCCTTACATAAATCATTATAGTTTGGGATTAGAATTAATATATAATTCAAATCACTAAATCATACATAACAAATAATCTATTCATCAACTTTGCCTCAGGAAGCATCTATATCAATCTGACCTCGAGTTGAGTTTATAAAAAGAACTAAACCGACAGTATGACAAAATATCCTCCATGCATAAGAAAATTAAGAAAATAAATAACATAAACTCGTATTTCATGACAAAGAAGTGTGTGTTTAGTTAAAAACAGGTATTTTGTTAACAATTTATGACGTATTAAGGCATTACATTCAGTATTTAAGTCACCTCCCTCTCATGTAATGATTTCTAAAATTATACATGTACAAATGTATTATTGACCTCGATAAATTAAAGTGAAAATTGAACAATAACTATTGGTTATTATCCATGATTATAGTAATACTTCAATACTTTTATCGTTTTATCAACAAAGCAAGAGGCTTATGTAATTTGAAATTGCCTAACGTCATATTATCCTCTCTCCTGAACTATTTCGTCCTCGAAATTGAAAAGCACCATGCTAATTAAACTTTAACAATAATATTGAAAAAATATGTACTTAAAATGTTTAACGATAAATTTAACAATAACAACAGGTATCCGAAATAATGTTCCCAGAAAGTTTATGTCAGAAACTTGACAGTTGTAAAAAAATCGTTACCGATACTGAACTTCCGGTAACCAGTTTAAAGTAATAAATTTCAAGATACCTTTTCAAAAAGTAATTTATTAATGAATGAAACTTTTTTAATTGAATTTCATCAAAGATTTTAAGAGTCTTTTCTTTCCAATCCTCACAGTACGAGCTAAGTGTCTCTCTGTAACTTACCAGGCATTACAGTATCATGAATTTTATAAATCATGCTGGGGTTGCAACATAATAGGTCTTCCTGGACGGTCGTCATTCTAATTCCCTGTCTGCTAAGCTTAAATTCGAAACCTTACTTTTCTCTGTATCATATGGAAATGCATTATTCCTTAGTGATGATTCTATATTAGTATGGATAGTCTTAGTTGTTTAACTATCCTTACCTATAAATGAACGCAAATGCACAGTCTGTAATGTGTTAGAAGATGAATTCCATTTTTAAATTGTATTACAATGTAGAATGTACTCTCAATTAAGAACACAATATATTCCAATTTGTTACTGGAGAGCTCCAAATATGTTTAAATTTATAGAATTAATGAATACTATACTGAAAATCAATTGTTAATTAGAAAACTGAGTATACATATTTCAAAAGCATTCGTGATGCGCTTTGATATTTTATATGGAGCTGATAAGCATGTTATTGATTTTATAACTTTATACTATACTTTTGTTAAAGCTAGAGTTATATTACTACAGCGTATGTTTCTCTTATTATAGCATTGTTCAAATTGACAGGTTGGTAAATATATGTTAGTCATATGAATATGTGATATTTCTTCTATGTCAGTCATGTAAATCGGTGATACATCCCTATATAATATAATTTTTACATCTCAAATATATGTAAATCTAGATGTTTATTTTACAAGCGAAACTGCTGTTATCTAATTGTTCCTCCTCATATCTTGTCATTGATGGCAAGATCTGGGAAAGAGGAAATACATAAGTAACATCTTTAGATTTACCGGGTGGCTAATCTTGTATTTCGCTTTTGACAAGATTATGCCCCTTAAGTTTTCAATCTATTCTTCATATAAAGTAGTTCAGTAACGCCATATACATTTGTTTGGACAATGCACATAAATATAGCAGTTTAATCCATTTCATTAGGATATCACAGTTAATCAAGTTAAGAAATATATTATATTCCATCATATCGGTATAGCGGTGTCTATTTCTATACTGTACATTAAACGTTCCACAACTCGATATATAGGTCAGTCGATATGACCATATTGATTATCTCCCAAAAATCGCACAATATGTAAAGTTCGCTATCAGTAACCCAAATTGTTTGAACAATACACATTTATATACAAATTTGTTCCATTTTATTAGATAACTGCAGTTAATTATGTCAAGAAATTATATTGTATGTCAATATATTGTTAAAGCTATAGTGCGGCGGATGTTACATAACTCGTTATACAGGTCGAGCAATAAGACATAACAATTATCTCCCGTTCTAAATCAAATTTGTTAAATAAATGCTTTAAATATAACTGTTGTCAAAAATGGTGTATGCAATATGTAAAATGTATGTAAAGTTCACACTTTCGTTATCAATATGATTTAAATTCAATATTCAATTGAGAAAGATTTTAATCAGTCAAATTATCTACTTCATTAGTGATAGATCTAATCTAATATGTAAATTCAGTATAATTGGATTTTTGTCACATACGACGAAAATGTGAATCATTATAAACATGTACATCATGTAAAAGTTGAATATATGTTTTCATTTCCTATGTAAAATGTGCTACTGTAGTGCATGTATGAGATCATGTCAACTTAATATTGATGCACGTTTGCCATATTATATATTTTGCAAATTGTACCACATGGGTCTATGACCTTCTGGGAAAAGATAAATAAACTTGTCGTATAAACATGTCGTATGAAAATAATGAGTCACTGCTTTTTAACGATTTTGTCCTTTTTGAAAAAGTCACTTTCTTTGTACATTTTAGGGTACTATAAGACTTTTGTCTTTAATTGATTATTAACATATTTAAGTCATTGTTGACTTGACAATGCAATAACTGTAAGAATCGGCTTTGAAATATTAAGCAGTTCGGGCCGAGAACAGGTACGAAATGACACTTAAAGGGAGAAGGTTCGTATGGATACGTGTCCTTTCATACTAAAGTATTGATTTCTAAGCAAAACACAGCTATATGATAGAAAACATAGCTGTTGAAACATTTGTTCAAGAAAAGTTGTTATCAAAAGCCGAAATGGCGACGCATGGAAGTGGCTTGAAGACAGATAAAGCTCAAAAATAGATAGAGAAATTTCATAATACGTAAATCGTTGTCACAATGATGCAACGCTTTGATTTCTTTCAATGTCCTACTAAGCCCTCGGACATATAGTATCATCCCGCCTGTCAGTCTGTATGTATGTCTGTTTGTCCAAACGTGTTAAGCGTTAATGCTTGTATATATCTTAAACTTTACATGGAAATTCTAAATAGGCATTAAAAGGTTAAATTTAGTTTGCAAATGAAGTTTATTTCTTTACCTAATTGTTTATATTTTATCCGATGTCCTTCATAAATCTTTGACAATCTTCTAACTTTGGGTGAGGTAATGGTTACTGGCTTTAACGGAAAGCTCATATAAAATGCTAAAATAGGTTCTTACACTTTTATAACGTGATATATGTTTTACATATTTATTACGAGCAAACCATTTTGTTAAATGCCAACCATTAGTGTATATATTTAATTAACCTGCTTTGGAAAAATTTAATGTTTTTCATCAAATAGAAATGACATACCAATTTATATTTTTCTGACAATAGCTTAAGGTCATGACTATGCCTAGTTATACAATATACCCCCTTCTATAACTTAGTGAATGGATAAACCTTTTTAACAAATTGGTAACCTCAGCAATAATTGACAGAGTCACATTTCTTTACTAAACTCGTGTCATTGTTCTACCTTATTATAGAAACATATTAACAGCAAGTTTGTTATTACAGGCAATGAGCTCGATAGTTGTGGTTGCCATTGATTTTGGGACAACATACTCAGGATGGGCGTTTTCATACAAGTCTGACTACGAACGAGATCCTCTGCACATAACAGCAAAGGCTGTTCGTAACTCATGTATATCGCATAAAGGTACAATACTGTCACCTTCAGTTTATATGTTTTAAATATAAAACGCTAAATAAGGAGGACTTAAAGTCATAAACAACATTTTTCCGCATCAAGATTTTCCATCCCTAGATATATTATATATTATCTAAACATATGCATCATTATACTTTCGAAAAAAGAAGTTTGTGGGGATATACTGGAGTAAGCTGATGGTCGGTCCGAAAGTTGCGCTGTCCGTTGCAGATTTCTTGTCCGGAACATAACTCAGAATGTATCAAATATTTAAATATCAACTTTAAATTTTGTAGGTAGATAGATATCATAAAGCAAAAATGCAGTGCAAAGGAACAGTAACTCTGCTAGCCAAATTTTAGAGTTACTGCCTGTGTTAATTTTTACTCTTTGAACTTTTTTCGGGACATAACTCAGAAACTACAAGAGATACCAACAAGAAACTTTGAAGGTAGATAGATAACATCGGGTACATATGTGGCGCTAAAGAACGTTAACTTTACCTAATTTTGGAGTTATTGTCCTTTTTGTATGTTTTACACTTTGAAATTTACAAGAAACGTGTGCATAAAAATCGTTACTCTGCTTTTCTTATGTTGGAGTAAGTGCACTTTATTCAAGTTTACACTTTGAACTTTGTCCGGGACATAACTCTGAATAAACAAGAAGTATCAACAAGAATCTTATTTTAAGCAGAATGATCTCATTTGGGTAGAATTGTAGTGCATAAGAAGCGTAACTCTGCCTTGCCTAATTTTGTAGTTATTGTCATTTGTTAATTTTCAGACTTGAACTTCTGCGGGACATAACTCTGAAAATTTAAGACAAAAGTATCAACAATAAATTTATTATGTAGCTAAATCTCATTTAGAAGAAGGGAGGTGTAAAAGAAACGCAACTCTGCCTTTCCTCATTTTGGAGTGATTGCCCTTTGTTCATTTTTACACTTTGAACTTTGTCCGGGACATAACCTGTGAACTATAAAAGATATGAACTTTAAACTTTGAAGGTATAGATCTTACTTAGTAGAAGTTCAGTGAATAAGAAACGTAACCCTCTTATCCCAAATATTGGAGTTTTTGCCCTTCGCATTTTTTACACTTTAAACTTTGTCCGGGACATAACTTAAAACTAAAAGTACAAATGTTGCTTCAATGCAGCAATTGAGAAGCTCCGCGCAACAAAAATGCGCTAATTACAGATACTTGACCAAATCATTCCTACACACAGGTCATTTTTCTATTTAGTTTTAGTACTATTGTACATTATTCTGGATGTTTTGTAAATCATTTAAATTTGCCTAATTATACTTATCGTATGCACTGTTCATTAGATGGGGGCCAGATATTAATTTTTTTTAAAAAAAATATGCTTTCACTGAAGCCTACCTTGTAAGGAAATTAATTCCAATACAAAAAAAAACACTTACAAGACTTGTAATGTGGCATGACTGTAGTGCAACATTGTTCTGTTTGTGTCACTACTGCAGTCAGTTATATTAGATGATAAAAAATATCAAAGCATGTACATTTTCTTTTTCACCTATAATGCTACTCATTTTCTACATATCAACACCTTATCATGGTAAGAAATAACAGCCACCGGAAAATATTTGCCCCAAAGTGGTAAACATTTCTACCATTTATACTTGCCCTAAACACTTGAAAATCATTTCATCTGATAGATTTAAGGTTAATTAGAAATAATTGACTTCATTTAATGCATTTTACCTTATCAAAAATCTTATTCTAAAAATGTGTCCGGGTGGAATTTTATGTATCCGGGCGGAATTACTTAAATTCCAATTGGAATTTTTTCCAACATTTTTATATATTCCAACGGGATTTTCAATATCATTAACGTATCCTTAATGATTTTTCTGACAATTTTGAGGAACTTATTCGATGAAGTTTAAGAAAAAAAAACATTTAAAAAGCGGGAAAAAAATCCGACTGGATTTTTACAGAAAATTTTTAATAATTATAAAAGTGATTATAATTAAAGGCAAATGATAGTTTTCCATTAAAATTAACATAATTATACACGCTGAATTACCAACAAGGTGTTTTGAAAATATATGAAAATCCAATTGGACTTATTTCTAATTATTTTTGTTGGAAAAAAATCCAACTGGAACTTTTTCAAATAAAAAGTAATTGGAAAAAAATCCAATTGGATTTTCCTCAATTGATTCCTCGAATGAATCGAAAGGTATCCATTTAATTTTCTTTTAATAAGAGATAACGAATTATTAATAATTATGATGATAAAATAAACTAATTATGATGATAATAATAATAATAATAATAATAATAATAATAATAATAATAATAATAAAATAATATAATAATAATAAAAATAATAAAATAAGAAAAATACATGATGCAATTATAATTTAAATAATTATTACTTTTATTCATCATTATTATCATTATTATTATAATTATTATTATTATTATTATTATTATTATTATTACTATTTTTATCATTATTACTTGTATTAATGTTGGTAGTGGGGTGATAGTGATAGGGATGATGATGATTGATGATGATTGATGATGATGTTGATGATTATTATTATTATTATTATTATTATTATTATATTGTTATAATTATTATTATTATTATTATTATTATTATTATTAGTAGTAGTAGTAGTAGTATCATTATTATCATTATCATCATCATCATCATCATCACCATCATCATCATCATCATCATCATCATCATTATTATTTTATTATTATTATTATTATTATTATTATTATTATTATTATAATCCTCATCATCATCATCATTATTATTATTATTGTTATGCAGCAAGTGACGATGAACTAAGAGACATCTGATGACCATATTTTCTTTTCAATGTTTTCTTTGGTTTAACCAGAATTGTATATCATAGATGAATGGGTGGACGAAAGACATTGTTTATCATGAATTTTGGAAGGCTTGCTAGGGATTAGAATAATTAAATGTATTTTCTTTGAAACATACAAAACAGTAGTCAAAATAAACAAAGTATGTTTTATTTTATTATTATTCTTGTAACAAATCAACAAACAGTATATAAGAATAGTAACAAAAGGGACTAATATAGTTATATTACAAACATATTTTTCATGTCAAATTTAAAAAAGGTTTCTATTAATACCTGGGGTGCGTTTCATAAAGAATCCTAAGTCTAAAACATAAGACTGAAGTTAGGACTGGAATAAGATTGCACTTAGGAGCGTTTCAAGAAACTGTCTTAACTCCTGTACTTAGGATTAGTCCTAACTTTTTACTTAAGACAAAAACTTCCTAATGGAGATAAAAATATTCACTTGTTCCATATCCTGTAATATGTCATTGTCATGTGAAAAAGTGTAGAATGGCAGATGATTAAATATAAAAATGCTGTAAAATTGACATTTTGTAAAAATATACAGTAATATTTCTTATACATATATTTACTTACTTCTAATCTCCTTCATATCATTAATGTTCTAATTGTAACCTTGAGCACGAAAAATTTTTTTCCTTTCCTTTAACATCATTCTTAAATTGCATACTTTCTTGAAAAAATATTCCTTATTTTACTCAAATGTAAAATATCCTCTTAATATTTATGAGACATTTGAGTGAAGTATTGTAGAATAATGCTTCTAGTATAAATGTACTAAAAAACGCCGATAGCGGAGTTATTTATTACGAAGCTTTTGAACGATTAACCGTATATTATTTTACTGTAACGTAAGAAAAGATAATATCTATTTCCATTCTAACATTGTAATAAAAAAGATAATCAATAAAAACATGTTGAACATTATTAAGCATAGTTCTAAGTAATTTATCTTACGTCATTTGGTTTATATGACGTCATATCTGACTTTATATTATGTGTTATCTTTCCTTTTTCATGCAATGCATAATTATTTATGACTAATGCACTTGACTGCTTTATCTGTTTATATAGGGGAATAATGTGAAGCGTGTTTGAATTTTATATATATATAAGTATTAAAAATTCCTGAATCTTGAAAATAAAACATACGCCAAACTAAGTCCGGCAAAACCATATCAGTCACAATGTCAGTCATAGGCCTAAATACTATGAGTAGAATCTAGATTTACTAATTAATAAAACATATCAATACACTGGTTAGCAAAAATGAACATGTTTATTTTAACAAAATTTTTATTTACCTTAAAAATATTTAATTAAGTCATATACACGTAACCAATACTTATTATAATTCATATTGAATCAGTGTAATTATAACAAAAAAATATTTAATATTACAGGTATTAAAATCCTTTTCTTCACTTATGACCTTTATTTTAACATATAGAGAATAAAACAGGAGCTGCAATGTTTTTTCAGCACTTGTTTTTGTTTTTATGACTTAAGACAAAAGTTAGGAGTGCCCTGAGGCACCTATAGGAATAGTCCTAAGTTTAGTCTTAAGATTGTACTTAGGACTTTTCTTGAAACGCAGTTTTATCACAGTTTTGCACTTACGACTAAAATCGGTCCTAAGATTCTTTATGAAACGCACCCCTGGGACTTAAGATACAGTAGTTATATTTCAAGTCCCAGAAGATACAGTAGTTATATTTCAAGTCCCAGATAAAAACTGAAAGTAGAACACACACTGGAATGAAAAAAATGGATGAATTTAAATAAACAAAATAAATCAGTTTATTTTTTGTTATACCCGTTAAAGATCCTGTATCATGTCATCAAAGTGGTTTATCACACTAAGAGAAAATATATATATGTACATAATTATAAAAATAAAACAATATTCAAACATCGAAGAATATGTAAAATATGTACTGCAAATATTTGTGCATATCATATGTAATCATCAAAATATAGGCATTCATTTTTTTTATTGTAAAATTCGACTTAAACTTTATAGAAAATAAATTTCTAATTACCTCCCTTTATTTACATGAAATGTTAAATTCGGTAATATCTTTATGAATAATGCTTTTGGAACCTAAAATATTGATAAATCTTA